TTCTTCATATTTGTTGTCTCTAACAGAGCAGTCAACACATCATCCATAGTCGACATCGTCTTTCCAACTAACAGTGTAGTCACCAAAGTCTCATATGATTTAGGTAGGGAGGTCAACAAAATTACCGTTTTATCTTCCTCATCAATTTTGACCTCTACACTTAATAATTGAGTTATGCACTTATTGAAATTATTTATATGGTTCCTAACATTACTTTCCTCATCTATCTCCAACTCATACAATTGCTTCTTCAAATATACTTTATTTGCTAGAAATTTCGACATATAAACTTTTTCTAATTTTTTTCATAACTCAGAATGAGATGTTTCATTCATAACACTATATTTTAATTCGGAAGCCAAACTTAAACAAATTGTGCTTACCGCTCTCGCTTTTAATTCTTCTCAATTTTCATCTTTTCATATTTTCTGGCTTCTTTTCTTGTAGTGCTTTCAGTAATCTTTACTGAATCAGAACATCTTTTACCGTACTCTGTTATATGTTGAAATTTTTCTTCCCGTCAAACCGCTCAATCTGCTTAAACTTTATTTTGGACATCATCTTGATTTTTTTTTTTAGATATTCACCACAGCTCTAATACCAGTTGTTGGGAAAAAACACACCCTTACACGAACACAATAGAAAAAATAAATTGAAACAAAAATAACAGAAAAACAGAGAAGACAAAGATTTAAGTAGTTCAAAAAATTTCCTACGTCCACGGAAGAGGGAGAAAATTTCACTAATAATTTCAAAATTATAGAATTACATTCAACAAATTTTCTCTCTCTCTCTACTCAAAATCCCTTACACCTTTTGTCTATCTCTCTCTTCACTTTTCTCTGTTTCTCTCAAAAAGAAGTATTTTTTCTCTACACTTTTTTCTAGGCACACATATAATTTTATACAAAACACTTGTTTATAGACTCCTAATAATTCTTATTTAAAAACAGAAAATAATTATCTACCTAAAAATATAAAATAATAACTTTCTTAAAATCAATTTGAGTAACTTATCTGACCGTTTTTAGTAAACTTAACCAAAATCCAGAGAAAATACTCATATAATCATCTTGTCTGGGTATCTTTATATTTTTGTCACTCTAGACATAAGTCTTTGTGTCACTTAATATATATATACATATATATATATATATATATTAACTGATTTGATAAAAGACATATTTTTACTATGCCACCCTGATGGCATAAATGTTAGTACTATTTTCAGTGGTATTTTTTATTTTCTCCGTGAAAATAAATAGGAAATTAAACTTACCACTTCCTTTTACATCTTTATATTTAATCTTTCACAAGCTATTTTGGTTACCATCTTGGGTTGGAGACCTCAAACAAATCATGAAACAACTTACTACGCAAGAACATCTTTAATTATAAACAATTGATTTTTTATGTTTTTGGTAAAACATAACAATTGATTATCATTGTAACTTGTTTCTGCTTTTGAGGTTGTATTAGTACTTTAAGGACAACGAACTTCTTTTCTTTTCTTTTTTTTTTTTTCTTGGATAAGAAGAACGAACTTGTTCGTGATGAGTGCACGTCATCTGTTACAGCTTTTCACGGTTCTCAATGTCCACATTGAATATTATACAAAAGCACATTAAGGAAATACATCTGATTAAGACCTTTTTAAGTTGGTTGGAAAAGTTGACACAAACAAGCACGTTAAGGAATCATCCCTCTTGGCTACAATTAATGTGCACAAATTCAAAACATTAGTTGCTAATATGACGCACTTCTACCAAAATAATTCCCTTTCTGATCTACACGTCTCAGCCAAGTTTGATCAGTTTCGCCTTTTTCTGCCTTTTTTAAAATTTTTATTCTTAATTCTAAGAGCATATCACGATGATGATAATATTCCATGGTGATAATGCTAAATAATGCTCTAGTGTTAAAAAGAACTGCGGCATTTCAAGTTGATTTCATACCTAAGAAAGCCGTAAAGGATTTAATGATTTGAAATGTTTACATTTGACAACAAACGTATAGGCAACAAAGTAAGTGCACAAAACAGACAAAAGAAAAAAGCAATGTTCATTTCATGATTCCCTCCGAACCAAAGAAATGAGCAATGGTTACTCTATACACTTTAATTCTGATGGGGATTAGAAGATGCAAAATAGCCTCCTAGTCAAAAGTAGTTGAAATTTTATATGTTCAACTATTAATAAGTTGAATTTGGTGGCCTAAAAGCAAGGGATTTATTTATCATTGCATATCAATGTAATGTTATTTTTTGTGTTAGATTTGATATATGTTATATTTAGTGGTAAATTTACTATTAAGTGTAGCATATGGTAAATTTGACATGTAATTATATCTTTAATCATTGTAACATTTATATTTTTAAATTATTTTAAAAGTAAGAGTTTATTTTTACAACCTTTAAAGCTTAATGATTACAATAAAATTTAACCCCTCTTCCTTTTATATATAAGTATTAGGAGGATGGAATTGCAAAATATTTTTTGGACTTTAAGTAGAATTTTGGTCCATTAAGGGGAGAGAATTCAAGGAAAATTTTATCCCTTAATGCATGATGTCATTCCAATGACCCAAGCAAGGTGGTGTCACTTGCTCTTATCCTAATCCCACACATGATAATCAATTTAGTGAAAAATGTGAAATCACCAATTTTCTTCATTCAAAATATGGAATTTGAAAAAGTCAATTTGCTTACAAAATGTGATTACAAAAAAAATCATCTTCTAAATCTTAATTAAGTATAAGATTTAGCTCTTAAATTTTCCTGATTATTACAATAAATTATTAAATGTGAAGGCATCCACATCAAATATGTTAGTTTCATGAATCACAACATATAAGGATACACATACGTGTATTCCGCAGCTAAGGAGTAAATATGGTTTAGTTATTAGCTTCTTGTCAATCGAGATCAAGCTCTAGATCTTATGTTTTGTACTATCTGAAAATAAGGCATACTAGAAACGGACCATGAAGGCAATTCTCATAGCTTAATAACTAGGAAAATAGTATAAAATAGGCCAATATGAAAAGCTTAAAAAAGTATCTAGGTTAATTTTTAGTTATAGAAATTAATAGGTCATAATTTGTCAAGTTATGATTTATAATCAGATAAATTATGGACAAACTTATCAAGTTATGGTTCATAACCAGACAAGTTATGGACGAAAACAGTAATTTAGCATATTTATTAACTTATATAAACTATTAGTCTATTAATTTTAATTCATATCAAGTCTTAGTCTATTTCTCTCTTTCTCCCTAATAACTATTCAAAAGCACTATCATACACAATTTTACGAAATCTTAAATAATTGAACTTTCCATGTTTCACTTGGAAAAGTTCACTCACTAAAGATAAGCGTACATTAAATTTTTTTCCTTTTTTTTTTTTTTTTTTAAACACCCTGGTGTTACACGTTGTTGGTGGGAATCTAATGTAAATTAAATTTCTATATGGGCATGTGTATCAAAGCAAGCATGCGTGAACCCTTCAATATTATATCAACGTACAGTTCTGTTATTACACGTTTTTTCCCCCCTAATACAAAGAACTAAATAAATTCTCGCCTATGCCTAATTGGAATGGGCAATATTCAGAATATAAGTTATTTATTTACGTTGTAGTTTTTGGATTCGGAGTCACGCAAATTTTATGTATAAGTTTATTTAATCTTAAAAGTGGAGTTTATTTATATGCCGTTTGAGTCAAGTTTCTGTATCAATTTTAAAAAAGATTGTTGGTATTGTCAGTCTCTAAACTTAAGGTAAAGTGACATTTTTGTTCTTGAACTTTTAATTTTGACATATCAGTCCTTAAACTTGTGATTTTTGACTGTATTGAACCCTTATATTAAAAGTGGCCCCCAAAATGAAATCGGACTCTTTTCTTGGATGCTTCTCCACCGCCCCCATCCATCTGCTGCTGCCAACTCCACCCAACTCCACCGCCTCCGCCTTCTCCTCATTCCTGGCAATATGTTTTTTTTTTTTTCATTATTTTTTATTTCACATATCATTTGAAAGATACGTTTATCAAACTATGGGTCTACTAGGCACTCCAAACAAAATGGTATATGTTCCTATTTACCACTTTTTAGTTTGAAAATCTTTACCCTTTCTCGGGTTTAATCATATATCATCGTCTCTTGAATTGATTATTTATTCCACTTTTAAATGCTCCGTAATCTTATCTTCACCACGAGAACCGTAAAGCCGATAACTATCTCCTATTGTCGTGTCTGTAAGGGACCACAAAGTTGATTCCAAAAAATGATAATAATAATAATAATAATACGTGTGAACAGACTCTGAGAGTCATTGTCTCATTGATGTTGACCTAACGTTGGTGATTTGCTTGAGACATGCTTTTAGCGCAGAGTCTCATATGTACATCACTTGCGGGCCATCAACTAGAAAACTACTATTTATTATATCATGTGGAGAACTCTTGCACGCTGCAAATTATTAATTAAAAAAAAAGAAGTTATAATATAACTTTAGGGTACACTATTTTGAATCAATAATAATATAATTTTGGGTTTATCTTCTCATAGTGTATTTATTTACACAATTCAAATCATGACTTATATTGTATATGTGAGAAAAAAATACTGTAATAAAAAAATTAAATTTAAATTTATATGAGAAAAAATATTATAACAATATATATGACTTAAGTTATGAAGGATGCCTATTTTTTTAAACACATATTGGTCTCTTCTATATTGTAAAAATACTAAAATGCAAGACAATCCAATAACTTGAAAAGATATAACATCGATGGCCAAAGGATAATTTTTTTTTATTAGTATATGTTTATAAAGCTATTGTTAGTTACCTTTAAAAAAACATAAAGTTATTGTTAATTAAAATATAAATGCCACAAAGGACTTCCCCTTTTCCTATAAAGAAAAAAAAAAAAAAAAAAAAAAAAAAAACCCGAAACTCGCACTAAACTGGGAATGGCAATTGCATAACAGGACGTATAACATCGGAAAATCGTTCCAAGTTTTTTTTTTTTTTCCATTACTCTTTAGACTCGTAATTTTTACATGTGTAAATACAACCGATGACAAAAAGATAAAAGCTACTCAGAACAAAAGAAGGCACAGAACTGAGCAACAGAAGAGAAAAAAACAGACTCTGCCGAGCGACTTATCAGCCTGCATTACATGCCTTCGTACTCTTGGACTAGCGTTCCCCACAAGATTGTATGAATTTGGATAGGTGTAGAGATTTGTAATCGAATTACCAAACACCCGTGCATATATCATCTCGCCGAATATTCCAATGGTGGGATCAAACAGGTTCGTCGCGACGCCGCTGGGGCTCAGCATCGGTGAGGGAGCGTGACTGCCCCGACGAGAACTGTTTAGTTGTGACTGATGAGGATAGCGATAAAATTGCTGACTCATGTGCGGACTTGTTAATACACTAGGTGAGTCGACGCCATAAAAGGGACCGAGAGGCCTTTTTGGTATGACTATGCCAAGATTTGGAGCCTTGCCTTTAGAGGGCTTTGTGGTTTGGCCACGGCCGTACAGAGGGACCAAAGAGGCTTGTGAGACTTCAGCTTTGCACACGGGACATTGCTGCTGTTGTTGCTCTTCTTGGGTGCTCTGGAAATGGAGCCATTTGTAAATGCAGGGCCAGCAGAATAGGTGACCGCATAGCGTGACCACCGGATCGTGCACTGTGTCTAAGCAGATGTTGCAGTCAAAGCCAGTGGAAGGATTGTTATCCCCGTCTTTGGAGAAAGATTTCCACTTCTGGCAGGAAGATTTAGTTTCTTCCATGGAGTTGTTTTGAGGCATGGCCTCTTCAAAGTACTGGTCTAGAGCCATTTTATTATGCTAAGCTGCCGAATCTGAGATATTCAAGAAACAATTGTGTTAGAAAAATTAAAGATCTTCCCATTAAAATATATAAATAAATGAAGATCTTAAGCTTAGTGACATGTATGAATGTGAATTCATCAAGAACATCCAAAATGCTAAATAGAAGCTCTTAAATTACTATTTGACACTTAACAAACCCGTTGAGAAAAAGTCTATTGCCCCACCAACTCTCGAATTAATATTAGATCTAAAAATGGTAATACTTTTATCAAATATGGTCCCCAAGAGGGCAATTGGAAGAAATTAATGAATATTGGGGCCTGCTCTGCTAAACCCAATCAGAACGTGAGAAATAGACAATTCATTAAGAGCTCATTAATTACGATTGGCCCTTCTAGAAATACTATAAACATTCTGAGACTGATTCTCATGATCTATCCATTCTAGGTATTCACGTATGCTTAAACAAAACAAGTCGACACCGAATATTAAAGATTGTAGATTTAAAAGAGGCACCGAGATGGAATTCCACTATATTCAATCGCGCATGAAATAAAAAAAATAATATTCCAATAAAACTTAGAATTTAGATGCGTTGTACCTAACCCTTGCCGTAAATCTATTTTATTCTTGAAATCAAAGTGAATTCTCAAATTTTAAGCAGTCCACATCTAAACCTGAAAAATATGCAGTGCTCCACTTGAAGTACCACAAAAATAAATTACGTCTTAACTCTACGAGACCCCACTGAAGGGAGAATAACCAGATCCAAACATCTAGACAAACAAACGTTTAATACCATGTGCTCATGAAAATTTGACAAAACCAGACAGGTTTCTGGTGAACGGAACTTGCCAAAATATGAATCCATATTAATTGTGTGAAAGCTTTATGTTGTACAGCATCCCAACTAACGAGCTGTCTTGTTCAACTATTAAAGGAGGGTAAACCTAACTTAATCATTATTCTTCAATAACACACCAGCAAACATGTCGTAGTTGAAAAACATGTATTGATTCCTTTTAGCAGGGGAAAAAAAAAATTCTCATACTTTCAAAGATAATTTTACTAGGCAGCCAACAATACTAGAATTTTTGGAATTTGTACATCACTTGTATGCCTGAGCTAACAGATGATAAACTAAAATTACTTGTTTTCTCCTTAATTCAATTATTTCTTCAACTACTATGATGGAAACTCAAAAGTATTTCACTTAAGATCCAAATCTAAAGAAAGATTTTCAACAGGACACCAAAGTAATGCAAATCAACGAAAGTCAACTATGATCTATATTATAAAGCAACCACACAACGCACAAAAAAGAAGTGAATACCAAGTTTTAATCAAACAATGGTCTTTCAAGATGCACGGACGCTCAAAATCTCAAACGCTTAACAAGAAAAGGAAATCGAAATGATTTTGTGGATTCGAAGATGAAAAGAGCAAACAAACTTGAAACCGAAGCATAGATATTATAAAAAGCCAAATATAAGATCCACAAAGAGTCTGAAACAATGCGTGTAGGCAATCAAATAAAAGATTCCCTAATCACCTTCTCCCTCATGGAAAGCTTTCTTTTTCTAAACAAGCAAAAATTTAGTATATTTATTGCCAGAAAGATTAAGAACGAAAACAACAAGTTGAGAAAATCCTCTTGAAAAAACGGCTGGTTAATAATTGGACAAAAAAATTCTCAAGAGAAGAGAGAGGGAGGAAAAAAAAAAAACTCATTTTAGACTCTTCAAGCCTGGAAAGATCAAAATCTAAAGCACAACCAACTATTTCAGAGGGGTAAGAAAACCCGATCATCTCATGTGACTCAATTTTCAACGCTTTAGCACTGAAAACTCGAGAACCAGAGAAGAACACCTTGTTCAGAAGAAGATGACGGGAAAAAAAAAAAGAAAGAAGTTCTAAGCACCAAAAACTCGATTGTTCAGGCTTTTAAGCCCCGTTAATTCACCGATTCGATATTAAAATTCAAATTTTGTTACGATAAAAAACTCTAAGAAACAGTGAGATCTAACTTTCTTTAGTAAAAAATTTTCACATAAAATCGCATCTCAACTTAAATTTAGAACTCGAATCGACGATCCTAAGTTAATAAATCGGACAAATATCAGTTCTAAACCTCTAAGAATCTCTCGCCGAAGAGCAAAACAACACCACGACATTTCTATAATAACAAAACAACAATTTCTTTCTCCAATCCACCACATACATAAATGTTTTCAGGTATTCTTCCTGCTTGTGCGTGTCAGATAGATATAGCAAACACAGAAATTTGTGTCGGTGCATAATCGTGTCATATATAGAGAGAGAAACAGATATATGTATACATATAGATATATGAATAGAGAGAGAAAGAGAAGAGAGAGATGAATGCGTACCGATTAGTAGATAGAGTGGTGTGAAGAAGCGTAGAATGATGAGAAGGTTTGGTGGGAGAGGTTTCAATGGCGGATGGGAGAGAAAAGAGAGTGAGAAAATGGAGAGGATGAGAGGAAAAAGGGATTAGCCATTCAGATTTTTATAGGGACAAAACATATGACACTTCTTCCGTTCTTTAATAGATAAATACAGATTAGTTTATTTATTATTAATTAATTAATGTGATTAGATATCATTACTAATAATTGTTATTCCGTAAAGCTTCTGCTTCTATTTTTTTTTTTTTTTTAAAAAGCTTTTTTTTTTTTTCTCGCGGCGCGTGTTTGATATGCTATTCTCCATCCTCCCGTTGCTTACGTGGGTATCCACTTGATGCTCTTACTTTTGTTTTTTTTGCTTTTTTTAATTATTATTTATTATATCCTCAGTTTCTAGATTTCTTTTGTTTTTGTCTTTATTATTATTGGCTGATGAATTTTTATCTACTTACGGGTAGTTCGATAAAAATTTATAAAAAAATATATATATAAAGATATTTTGAATCACAAAATTTTTCGGGAATTTTAAAACGAGTTTTATTGAAAAACAAACAAAAAAAGATTTTTGATCGCAAATGAGATAAAAACTTAAAATGAATTCCTACAAAAAAAAAAAAAAAAACACTAGACAAAAAGTAATCTGATAATATTCTCAAAAAAAAGGTAATTTATAGTAAATGTAACCTATTTATTATTATTATTATTATTATTATTATTATTGCTCATCGTGTAACCTGTTTATTCTTAAAAAAATAAATGTAACCTCTTTATGTATTTATTATAATCTTTCAGACAGTTATCGTTGATAACTTTTATGGAAACCGCTATCACCTTATTATTCGAAGAAGAAACTGAAACTTCCTCAAATAAAGAGAGAGAGAGAAAAAAAAAAAAAAAGCTGAGAAGGATATAAAATTCGGTAACAAATAAAAAAAAGTGTCACAAAAGAGTTTATCAAGATAATAAAAAAGGAATTTTGTGCTTTTTAAAAAAATGATAAATTGGATAATAATTGTTGTTTTTTTTATTTGAGAATGTAATAATTGGGTTTTTTTTAGGAAAAAATAATTTTGGGTTTCTTGGATGGGCGTATTGCAAACTGAAACATATTAGTTTTTTTTTTTTTTTTTTTTTTGGCTAATCAGATCATATAAGTGTAATTTAAAAGTTGGAACCTATTGCAATTAGGTGTGATGGATTGTCAAAGGTTGCAACCGATTTGTGAATAAGAGCAACTCATTAATATGATTATTATCACAAGTTAGAACCTATTGCAAATAGGTGTGATGGATTGTGAAAGGTTGCAACTTGCAACCGATTGTGAATAAGTGCAACTTTTTTTTCTGCTTATCGTGAATAAGTGCAACTTATTAGTAGGATTATTATCACAAGTTGGAACCTATTGCAAATAGGCGTGACGGATTGTGAAAGGTTGAAACCGATGGTAAAAAAGTGCAACTCATTAATAAGATTATTATCATTGATGTAGATGAATTTAGAATCCTTCTTAATTTACTATTTGAACTTTATAAATTTTCATTTTATCTTTTAAATTTTAAATTATTCTCACCTAATTTTTTATGCTGTAATTTATGTTAAAAACATATAAAAATATATAAAATAACGGAATTATTTGACTTTTTCATTTGGATTTTTGTTAAAAAAAAAGATAAAAATCACATTACCACACTTAATTTCCTCTTTTCCGTCTGATTTTACCAAAAATTATAATAAAAAGGGTTAAATAGGAATAGTTCAAAATTTAATAGATAAGATGAGAATTTTTAAAGTTAAATGAGCAAATTGAGAATGTCTTCAAAATTGAGGGGCACAAAAATCTTTATCAATAATAATAAAAACAAATATAAAAATAAAGATACCATAAAACTACAGGTTGCACTAGGGTAACTAATTTTTTTTTTAAGTGTAATTTAAAAATATAACAACCTATGACAAATAGGTGAATAGAAAGCTTGCAACACGTTGTGAGTAAGTTACACGTTCCTTATTTAATCCTTATATATTAAAGTTTTGAGGGTTTTCTTTTTTTTTTTTTTTGGGAATTCGGTGCACTTGTTTTGTGGAGAACGTGTACTTTAAAAATATTTAAAAAAAAAAAAGATGAAATTTAAAGTCTATAATCTATATTCCTCAATGAGGGGAATTCGGTGCACTTGTTTTGTGGAGAACGTGTACTTTAAAAATATTTAAAAAAAAAAAGATGAAATTTAAAGTCTATAATCTATATTCCTCAATGAGTGCATTTTATTTAATCGATTTAGGATCATAGAATATAACTTTTTCTTTTGAGTAATAATGTAACTATTTCGATAAATCAAGAAATCGCTTGTTTCACGATTTTCTTCTACTATATTGCTGATTGGAGTATATTTAAAATTATACATTTAATAAATTTTTTTATTCAAAATCTTTTACATTATTTATCTATCTCTCACCTCATTTTTATCTTTTTCTCTTAAAAGAAAGTATTATTTTTCTACATTTTTTTCTTAACACATAAAATTTTACACAAAACACTTAATTATAAATTCATAATAATTATCATCCGGGAACAAAAAAAACAGTAACTTCTTAAAAAACAAGAAATAGCAACTCTTTTAAAACCGATTTCAGACACTAACCTGACAATAACATATATATATATATATATCTCACGACGGGGACGGGGCGTAGAGGAGTGGGGACAAAATTTGAGGACAAAAATTTTGAGGACAAAATTTTGTTCTTATCTCCGTTCCCATATCTAATTATTATTATATTTCATTTTATTCGGTGCGAATCACGTAGACGGACAATCGACCAAGGAAGAGACCCAATTCAGTCTGGGATCATCACTTTCTACAGTGGCAGGTAATTATGATTCTGACGCACATGATTCTCCAGAAAAGAGAAAGTGGGGCCCGTCCCTATCCCAAATCCCAACGAGTATTATCTTTCCCATGTTGTTCTATCCCTATTCAGTAATGCGAATTAGGGATGGGTTTAGCCTAACAAATTTGCAAAGTTGACCAACACCGTGGTTACTTTAACGATACTTATTTAGTTATTAACACCTCGTTTATTTCGTTGATTTGAGTTTAGAATTCGAGTTGAGATGTGATTTTATATGAGAGCTTTTTACTGTAGTAAAAAAATTAAATGTGATTATTTATGAGAGTTTTTTACTGTAGAAAAACTCGAATCAACGAAGTGAACAGGACCTATAATTGAATCATGATTCAAAATTTATTATAATATTTTTTTATAAAAAGATATACATAAATTAAATATAATTTTAAATTATTATTTTAAATTTATAAACTAAATATATAATTAACACAATTTCTACGTACTCAACGACATTTCTATTAACTTCCCGTCAACCTTCCTTGTTCGTTTGTATATACATATTTCTGGTTTGCTAATTGTCATCTCTCGTATATATTTTTAATAAAAAAATATGATATTAATTTATACTCACTTGTAATAGCGCCTGCAATAACTTCGGCGCTATGGTTCAATGGCAAAACTCGTTCCTGCAAATCATGAAATCTACGTCAAATATGTAAGATAGGAAGGAAGTCTTTTAGTCAACTCTCTGAAACATCTATAATCTTAGCTAGCTTGAGTTATTTGAGTCGTTTAATTCATGAGTTTAAATTATAAATTTATAATTTTAACAGTTAAAATTTAAATTTTTTATAAAATAAAAATAATATAACAAAATTAAAAAATTATAATTTAAACCATACAAAACTTTTAAAACAAACATACAAATAACTTTTTTAATTTTTAAAATATATAAACGGTTATATATATATATATGTAAATGGATGTGATTTTTTAATTTTTGAAACACATTAAAAACTCATTAATATGTATAACCATTAAAACTACACTCATATATATATATATATATATATATATATATATATATATCTAATTATTTAAGCGGTCAAGGGTACAAGTTAATTAAATAATTATAATACCAACTTCAAGCGATCAGCTTATGAGGCTTTTTTAAGGATTGGACTAATTTGGATGATGGATTCCAGTAAGTAAGAAGGTCATTTGGGTACTTAAAGATGTTTTAAGTTGCATCTTGAAATCACTGATCCCCTTTTTCATTCAGAAAAAAAAAACAAAAAACAAAAACAAAAAGTTACATTTTGAGATTGCAGAAAAGCACACATAACACGTTTGTATATATATATACACACACACACATAACACGTTTGCAATGTGAGTAATCAACACCGTAGAACAAATATTAACATGGAAAAGGATTGAGCGCGCAATCTCTTGGAAGATCATAATTCTGAACTCAATTTTTCTTTGGTAACTTCTGATGTTAGAGTATTCCGTGTTTCATTTTTGAGAGGGCAAAAATACCTGTGGTATAGACAAAAATACCGTGTATGCATAATTTTTACTGCAATATAGATTATGATCTTGTGGAACAAAAGACCTATGTTTTATAATTGTTACCGTTTATCTCCAGTTAGATGATACACGAAAATGTTCTAGCGTGTTACTATGTCATAAAACAACACAAGAATTGCATGAGAAAATGCTGAACGTATTTACGAGCGGACGATCTAAGTTGTCAAATCTATGAGTCCTACAATAAAGATCGCACGAGCATACGGTTTAGAATGTGCACTTGCAATACTGAGGTCGCACATTTAGCATTTTCTCTATCTTATTCATAGATGAAAATGTCAGTGTCGATGGGGTTCTCGAAGTTTTGATTTGTTGATAATGTCAATGGAAATGTTGATGACACATATTCCGGAAAAAAATGAATACCTTGAAAAAACTATAAATTTTTTTATTAAAATTGTACAAAATGTTAAAACAATCAATATTACTTAATTTAAACTACTAAAATAACAAAAATAATATGTTTTGTATTAGAATATTAGAGTTATGTTGAATAATATAGTAGGAAATTATCAAAATTATATATGGATTATGATTCAAAAATAATTTTATATACTCATTATAAACAAGGCACAATAATTCAATATACTACATAGAAATTAACTATCAAACATAATAAAATACACACTCACTTAAAGTGCTTTCGATACCAAAACGAGTTTCTAGCAGGTGAAAAAGTATTAGGTAGGTTCTGATCTTGATCAAAATAATACATTTGCCAAGATATTATCCTTAAATAATTCTAGATGTAGTTGTTGATGTGCCACATGTATGTCTCTTAATCTCTTCCTATTATTAACCCATAAATTGGATACTGTTGGTTTGTCAAACTTGATGACTAGTTCAGGGATATATAATTACACTTCAACACTGACACGTGGTGGAGGATACACTAATATATAATTATAAGCCATCTTGGTTTTGCACTTTTGAAGTAGATCTCATGTGAGAACTATATAAATAGCCATATGAACTTTGTTATGTTCCTAAGCTCACGGAATCAAAACTCAAGGCTATAAAATCCTCATCAATTTCACTCAATCAAGTCACACTACGTCTTTTTATAAATAGTTTATTTTAAAAGTTAAATTTTTTTAAAAACTAATGTCGTGTTTGGAATTATTCTTGTTTTTATTTTTTACGTTTTTCGAAAAAGAACAAATGAAAACGATTTTAAAACAACGTTTAGCACAATTAAAGACAAAAAAATGAAAATGAAAATGATTTTTTGGTTTAGTGTAAAATAAGAGAGAAATGAAAAACGAATTTTAGTCGTTTTTCATTTTCTCTTCTCTTGAGCAGAGAGAGAGAGACATTAATGGGTTTTTTTTATACTGAAAATAATCTCTTGATAAAACTATTAAACGCATTTTTAAAAATGATTTATGTCTGAGATTGAAAACGTTTTAATTTCTATTTTCATACAAAAAATAAAATCATTTTGAAATGAGTTCCAAACGCGCCCTAATTGTCTTAATATTTTCTTTACACTTCAATACTGATCTGTGGTGGAGGATACACTAATATATCATACAAACCATCTTGATTTTGTACTTCTGAAGTAGATCCCATTTAAGAAATGTATGAATAGTGCCATATGAACTTTGCTCTGTTCCTAAACTCACGGAATCAAAACTTAAGGCTATAAAATCTTCATCAGTTTCACTCAATTGAGTCACACCACATCTTTTTATAAATTGTTTATTTAAAAAGTAAATTTAAAAAAAAAAAACTAATTAAGTCTTCATATTTGCTTTTTATTTAAATCATGTTGTCACATTTTATTGAAAAAATATGAAAACAATGCGCTACAAAATTGATTTTTATTAAAAAAAAATTCTAAGGTTTTTGGACATTTTTAAAAATATTCTGAATATTTACCACAAATTTTATTGATTTTTTTAGACATTGCAGATGTTTTATAAATACGTCAGGAAGAATATCTTCCCCTCATTATTCACGTTGAGATTTCAAAATATGGATGATATCTAAGAAATGTCAACAATGTCATGGACATTTTCAGTCATGATCCTATTATCATAACTACTATTTGGCAGCAGCCTCAATAGCCTTTAAAAAGCTATACGACTAGACTACATCTACCACCGTAAGTTTCCTTCTAAACATTGGGTATGTTTAGTAGTGATTTTTGAAACCTAAAATCAATTTTTTAGTCATTTACAGTTGAAATTTGTGTTTAGTAAAAACATAAAAAGTGATTCTTAAAAAGTTTTTGAAGAATTTACAATCAAAATTAGAAGCAGCTTAAAGACAATTTTAATTTTTAAATTGTGCGGCAATCACCTTGAAGTAAAATTAATGAATCAATACTTGTATAATTACAGTTTACCAAACACTTACTGATTTTTGTAACAGTTATTTTTTTTCAGCACAACTAATAATAATTTTTTTAAAATCTACAGCACTGCCAAACTGGCCCATTGTCTTTCAATGTTGGTTATGAACTGGATTCTGGCTGGTTTCCTCATGTTGCTAATCAAAGTACCAGTCTTGATACGGGTGACAGTCAAAGTAATTGTGAGACGACTTTTTAAAATACTAGTCTTTAGCGCGTGATTTGTTTAAAAATAACAGTTATATAAATTATTTTTCAAAAAAAGTGAGAAGAAAATAAAGGATACCTCTCACCCAAAAAAGATTATAACTTATTTTATTGTGTTTTTAATTTGTTTTATTTTGTTTTGTTTGAATTTATTTTTTATTTAATTTGGTGTGATTTTATTTTATTTTAGTTCAACACATTTTTATTTATTTTTTATTAGAATTATTCATAACATTTTCATGTGAGTAGTATCAGACAATTTGTGCATATGGTAGTAGAATAGTTATAATTCATACAAATTATTTATATATTTTTATCTGTATAGCATCGAAAATTCGACGCTAAACAATGCTAAAAATCGAACAACAAATCACTTGAAAATAAATAAATAAATAAATAAAAAATAATAATAATAATAATAATTGGGAAAAGGGGAATTATTTCAAGCCATACACGTGATCTATTCAAAATAACTGATATGCAAATTATTGAGGGAAAAAAAAAAGAAACAAAAGGGGAAAAAGACACAAAAGAAACGTATTAGAGTATAGTGACCTGAATTCTATTTGGTCTGACTCGAAAAGTTCCCGGTGTGACATATACGGAGGAGTTTTAATTATGAAAATTTTTTGAGGGTCTGTGGTGGTAGTAGAGAAATCGGGCCTATCCACTGATCTCGTTGGGAGTACAGAGGCGGAGCCTCCCCAGTATTGACTTGTTTTGTTAATTATTCCCGCATGTATATATGCGCTAATTATTCATGTAAATCTATGTGTTACTATTCTATTTTTCTATTTCGTATTCACATTAAATCTGTGTGTCATTTATTTTGTTTTGTTTAATTTGTTCTTAATTTAATTTGGTGTGATTTTATTTTATTTTAGTCTAGTGTATATTTGGTTAATTTTTTCATTCGAATTGTTCATAGTATTTTTATCCGAGTATAGCAACAAAAACATGGTGCAAAATGGTGTTAAAATGGATAAAATTGAACTACAAATAAGTTAAAAATTAATAAACAAACATAATTAATTATATAATAATAAAAAAGAAAACCGTGTTTTTTTGGCCGCGATGAACGGTTGGGATTGGCGCGTGTGGCACACGGGTCGACAGAGGGACGTCGGAGGGGCAGGCGCGGTAGGGTTCTGTGGCAGGTAGGGCCCGCAACTTACACGCTCCATCCAACGAGCGCACACCGCGTGTCTATGCTGTCGGCCTTCTTTCACGCGTGTTTCGATGCATCATGGTTCACGATTATGCGCTCATTTACCCTATGGAAAGATGACACGTGGAAGCCAATTACATCTAACGTTCTCTGCTCACCCGTGCGGAGCCCACATGTGAAATTGACCAACCGTACGCTGACACGTGTTGCACATGGTGAATTGCACCACACCAAATTATTTCCTCTGCCCAAGGAAAAAAAAAATTGACACGGCTAATTCTGAGGAAGAAACGTACGAAACGCATTCTACTTTTATAGGATGGAATAGATATGTCGCAGCTCACAAGAATCTCGAACTTAATAAAATTAACTCTAAAGAAACTGGAACTGGCTTCCCACTACTGAATTCAAATTTAAGCAGTCTAGTGACATTATTAGAAAAGGAAATGACATTACTTTTCAGCTCCATACAATTTCATCACCCCATCTACGAACCAGTTAAATTAGAAGTTCTAAATTCAGAGAAAATAAAAAAAGCTTGAAGAAGAGAGGACTGGCATCCTTGTTTAGTCTTGTGTAGAAACGTACTCATCAAAAAAGACATTGGAAAAATTTGCAAATCAGTTTCACCGAAGACCCTTCACAACTGCTATTGGTAAGAAAATCTCAGCAACGCTTACATGTATCACTGAACCAAACATAACAATAAATACAAGAACTTCAAGTTTTTACGGCGAGATAAGTTTTAACTTCACAGCACCAGAGACATCAAAAGATTTAGACAGTGTGGAAGAAGGCTGCAGAGACTTTTTGTGCTCTCTCCTATAAGAACTTTGCGATGCTGGAAGTTAGAGCAGTTTTGGGGACGGCACCAATGATTGCGTCCCTTTTTTCACCATTGATGAAAATCATGGTGGTCGGAATGCTGCGAATTCCATACTGCTTAGCAGTTGAAGGGCAATCATCTGTGTTTAACGTGAAACACTTAAGTTTTCCAGTATACTCCTTAGCTAGTTCACAAATTATAGGATGATTCATGTGACATGGACCACACCAAGAGGCCCAAAACTCTACAAGTACAGGACCCTCAGCCTCAAGAACAAGAGATTTCCATGTGGCATCCGTAACTGTGGTAACTGCAATTGAGGGCAAAGAGTCAATTTCACATAAAGGAAAGGTCGGGGTGCATTTCATAATCAATATGACAAATTGATACCAATAGTCCGCTACATAAATCTATAAATCAGCCTTTCTCATAGACTAAACAAGGAGTGAGAAGCAAAAGAACGGTCAGAGTAATTTTAACATCATATAACACAACTATTGCCTAGTTGATAGAGCTCAATCAGTACAGCTAAAAAACACCGACGTAAAGTTATGTAGAAATCACTTCTTGTTTATGTACAGAGTGTATGAGTATGACCATCTATGGTAGTTCTGTTTGGGTCAAATTTCTTGTGACAAAGAAACATGGTAACCCTAAGCTAAGATACGTATTAGCACAGGGGACGAATGAGATGACTAAGGAACAAGTTGACAAATGGCAGTCATAAGATGCTTTATGGTAGCAATAGGCCTCTATTTTTGGCTTAACTACCAAAAAATAAAGACCTCTATTTTTGGCGCACATGCTTGGAATTTCCAATCCAACCAAAACCAAAGATCAGTTTTTGGTGTCACCAGCCAACACAAACAAGCAGCAAAGACACAACGAAAGCACCTACTAACCCCACAACAGCCAAGCTACCAAGCTAAGGAAAACAGAACCAAAGGAAGAAAAGGGAAGCCGAGAAGAAGAAAGAGATACCCAACAAAAGAGTCAAGGGAGGGAAAACCACTCCCAAACATTCAAAAACACATTTTCAGGGATATAATCTGAATTAAGCAGCCAAAGCAGTCAGAGGCTCTAGACCATTAATCAAGGTCATGAGTTCTCAGGAATCCACTGATAATCAGTTGCAATAAAGGACGATGAGAGGAGTACAGAGTCCCTATTAATGTTCTTCAGTAACCAGGGGCATAGGTGTGGAGAGGTAGTCAATACTTTGGCACAAGGCCCAAATCACTTCCGCAGGGTATAGCCTTCCATCTTTTATTACAAGCCCAGATCATACAGAAACGGATAGCCAGAGCCTCCGCAACCAGTGGCACTAATGAGGTAACCAACTGAGTAGCTGCCAGCTTTACCGTACCATGGAAGTCTCTAACAATAACAGCATCATGTTGGGTATAGAAACATCAGAATTCACTTTCATCCACTCCAGAGGACCATTAGCAGAAGTTTTCCAAAGATGTGCACCATATTGAACTCTCCGCCATAGTGAACGACACCATTTCTCTTCTGATTAGCATGTGATTATTTATCACCTTTAGCCCTTATCTAAGCTCAATAAGGTGGTCATCATAATACTCATAGCAGAAAGTTCCCACTAACTCTTCATTCACAGAACTTAAGAATACTCAATAACCATGACAAGTTATTATTTCCAAGCAGTATCGAATCATGCTAAGTCCTTTCCTTGATTTTTTTTCCTTAGTTTACCAGGAACTTTTTTTTTTTTTTTCCTTTAATTTAACACACATGTGTTAAAAGAAGTGAACAAATGTTAAATGTCAGCCAAGGATTTTATTTTACAGAATACTTAAATAAATTACAAGAAGAGCACATATAGAATAGCTATATATATATATATATATATATATGAATTAACATTAATTCACCTAATTAATTCTTTGCTATTCAGACAGTTCCAGTGCAAGAACATAACTAGGAGACCAAAAAACCGTTAAGTTTATCTTAAGAAAACAAATTCACTCCATGAAGCTATAACTTGTTCCCCAACTAATTAAATACTCTCAATAAGTTGAACTCAACTTTGAAGACATATCAAATCCAAAAATAGGCAAAAATTTAAAAAAAAAAAAAACAGAGAACATTAATCTCAACATGGCGCAATTGAATCTCGAGTGAACGAAATGAGAATTAAAGAAATAGAACCAAATTCTCGAATTTGGGTTTGGGACACACTGATCATTATCTACAGGGAACAAAAACGAAAATAACAAATTTCACAATTAAAAAAAAAAGAAAAGAAAAGAAATTACCATCTACAGAGGTTTCCCGAGCATCAGAGACAATGCGGCCGACTCGGCGAACAACACTACGCGTTCTACAATTCAACAACGGCACTGATCGAATTAGAGGGGCGATGATTTTCAATGATCGGAATACAGGAAAAGCACCGACTTTCCGACGGCAGGAGAGTGATATCGCCGAAGATGACGTCATCGGCGGAGAGAGGGACATCCTTGGATTGGAAAGAGAAGACGAGAGAGCGACTTGTTTCGGTAGCTTCGCCATTGAAGACAGCGAAAGGAAGGTTGAAAGTAACGGGTTAATATGCTTCTGATTTTCTCCCCCTGTTTTGAGAAAATGCTTCTGATAGTTCAGGATTTTTTTTCTAAGGGCTTTAAAATAGGATCTAATTTCAAAAATGCCCAAAATTTTGTACCTTATTTTAAAGGGCAACTGAATTTTAAAAAAAGTTCATTTCACCCTCTAAATTATGCACCATAATTTAAAATACCTCTAAAATTTATAAATTAATAAAATAATAATGTAACACTGCTTATATTTTTATAAATTCCCTTGAACTATTAATTTCAAGTTAATTTACTTTTTAAATTATTATTTTTATGCCAACTTATCCCTTAATTTATTAAAAGATTAAGAGGCAAAATATATAGTTTAAAGAGCATTTAAAATAACAATAATTCAAGAGGTGTTTTAAATTTACTTTTATACTTTAAAGAGTGAAATGGGCTATTTTCACAATTTAGAGTGTCGAAATAAGCCAAAGATATTTATGAAATTAATCCTTTAAATATGTTGAAATTGGCACGTGAATGACGAAATAAGTCTAATTTATTTTAAGGTGAAAAGAATAATGATTAGTTTGCCAAATTTAGGTAACTTTCCAAAAATTCACGCAAGCTCTCTTTATCAAAAGGAGGAAAAAAAAAAAAAACTAAACTCAATGTTTTTTTTAGGAAAAAAAAACAAACTTTTAATATCCTCAAATTTGGAAAAGAATTCCTCTATATTAGTCTAAACTTAGCCCCAAATTTCTTATTACGGTATTCTCTTTCACAAAATTTGAATTAAAATTTAAATTTTCTATTAAAAGGGTTCTTATTTAATATTATTAAAAATATAAAATAGTTTCAAGATCTCGTTCTTTTTACCACGATGGTTATGGAGGGGGGAGTTGTGAGTGGATGAACGCTCAACGTCGGTGGTGGAGTCATATGGGTCATCCCCGATATATCCTTTATGATCTTGGTGGCCATCTTATTGTCGAAGATCTTCTTTGTATGATTGAAAAATTTTATTTCGTTTTTAGTTTATATTTTGATGTAATAAAGGCGATGTTGATTCCACCATTTCGATTTTTATGTTTTTGCCACGTAATAATGAAAGTTGACGTCCCACCTTTTTATGGTGGTTGTAGGTTTATTCTGTTAGGTTTGATCCTATACGGTGTTGTGAGTGATCCTAGTGCTCTTTATCTTTTGGTCTCAGTCGACTAGTTTTATCTCTGGACTATTGTGGTTTTGTTAAACGAGCTTTTATCGCTTTTAATTGTTAATGTGCTGAGTAGATCTTTTTTTCATTAAAACTCAACACTCATATTTATTTTTGTGCCTCATTTGTCTTTATTAGTAGATCTAATTTTTGTCTCTAATACTTTGTATTTGGTGGTTATTTATAACTATTTCGGAGTGTATATTGACTTAATTATTAATTGAAATTTCCCCTTTAAAAAAATTACCGAATCCATTTTATCCTGATAATCAAATAATGTGGTATTCCATGATATTTATCGGTTGGAAAAAAAAACCACCTAAACTTAAAAATTAATAATAATAATAATAATAATAATAAACCACCCCCAAAAAAAATGTAAAAAAACGAAAAAGAAAAAGAAAAAGAGATGAACCTACTATGAAATACCAATACCATGGTCTCGCTCTTGTTCATTTCCTTGGCATTCAAATGCCCAACATTTTCACGCAAGACCCGCATGGAATCTTCCCAACCCAGAACTCTACGCGACCGCTTCTCCATGTCTGCTTCGAGAGAAGCTCGTTGTCGTTTAAGCAACGACGGCTGTGAAGAAGCTCATCAGTCTCTCATTACGTTGCGGGAATGGCAGGATTGGGGCACCACATCTCCTGTTCCCATGGCGGTCACGAGAATCGTCGAGGATTTCAAGAGTTTGGAGACAGAGATCGATGCCCAGATGAGCTTTGGTGGTCATCATGGCAAACTCCAGGTGATTGTCTAGAAATTGCTTCTCGCGGTTGGTTCTTTTAAGGGACTTTACTGCTTTTATGTTCATATAATGCGTTTATTGTTTTTTTTTTTTTTTTCTGTGTTTTATATGTTCTCAATTTTCCAATATTTACCAAATGACGATTGAAAGAACCGAGGAAAACACAGTGTATGTATGTCGAGACTGAAATGTATGAAATGTAATAGTAAGCTTCGGTGAGTGTGTGTGACTTAGAAGTCTAATTTTTTATGAGTTTATATATTTTGACACGCTTCTTGACTTAATTGGAAATTTTTTAAGATGGGTTATACAGAAAAATGTGTATAAATGAGGTTTAAGAGCAAAATTTTTGTAAGTCTAGTAATTGATGCTCAAAATCAACGGTCTTATGGTTTTCATCAGATAGTGGTTGTATAGTGGTTGATGAATCTGCTTCAAATTAATGGGTATTCTGAGTTGTTTGAGGGCGGAAGATTGCTACTGAAATTTCCATTATGAATATCAAGCATTTATTTATGTTTGTTTCTGCATATTGTTTCCTTTTGTTTTCTTCTCTTGAGTGCCTTCGCTTGTTTGCACCATGCTATATAACTACTATTCAACTGAGCATATTTCAATGGTTGGTGAGTTTTTATCCCTTATTTTGTGTAAATTTCAGGGTACTTTTAAAATTCAGGAGGACAAGAAACACCGAGCAACATATCAGGCTCTTGGAAATTCTGAACAGAAGCTCCAATTCTTCTCAGCTCGACAAATAGCATGTCGCTTGCTTGGAAGTAGGGGTTACCTTTGTCAAAAGGTGTTGAGTTATTGTAAACCAAAAACGTGTTGTTTTTTTTTTTTTTTTGCTTTCACATCTCTCACTCTCGGAATGTGTCACGGTTATGCATGAACACATTTACAGCTTACTTTACTTTTGATCTCATGAATATCTCTTTTTCACACTATGTTTTATAAGACTTCGAGTACTATGCAGTGTTGGCTACCTTATGAAGATTGTATGTGTTTGAGAGTCATGCCTTGCAAGCTTTGGAATGGATTGAGGTTCTGGTTGTATATGCATCCCAAGGTTCAGGAATTTCTATCATCCATTAATCAGTTAAATAATATTGTTTGGAAATCGGTCAGATGACAGACTTCATTTTTCAGGATTTCTTAAGGCAGAATAACACTGGCAAGCTGTTGTGGCAGTTATTTGGTGTTCAAGTAGCAACTCTGTGCCTTTTTGGCATTGCTGAACATGAGGAAATGATGTGGAATGCATTTAAGCATGCGGGTATATTTAGAACTCTTGCTTCTTCCGATGAATTCAAAGTTTGCAGTTTTGATGGTGCTTATGTATGTATATTAGTCACATAATTAGATCATCACATTGCCTAGGAGGAATAAATTATTGTCACTTATAGGGGAATAAATTATTCCCCAATTAAATTGGGATTAAGGCTTGTTGTTGTTGTTGTTGTATAGGGGACGGATGTTTCTTACTTGTGTAGACATGGTTAAAGACTGGTGAAGCCGGTGGAGCCAAAATTGATAATACTTGCATCAGAGCAGGTCTTGGCAAATCATATTAGTACTAACACCTAGTTAAAAAGTTTAGGCCTACTTGAAGGTGGTTCTGGGGTTGACACAGGACACTTAATACCACATGAGTGCTTCTTGTTCCCATCACCCTGAAGAGGAGGTTATTTGTGCTTCTTTCTTGGGTAGACACGTTTTAAAAGGCCATGGCTGATGAGTAATGAGCTCAAAAATGAAAATATCTACATAACTTGTGGGCCTAACCATAACTGCATGTTGGATAGTGTGATATCTATCTGTACCGAGATAAATTAATGTTTTATTTTTAACAAAAACTTATTCAACGTTATTCCTATCTGTAAAATATTTAGTTAGACCGTTAGAGTAACTAATGCTGAATAATTTCACCTTGAATTCAGGAAAGCACAAGGTTTGGTGCCTTTATCCGAATAAGAATGCAGTGGTCAAATCAGTTCAGGAAGCTTTTAGTCAATTGTCTTCGGTAAACCTGGAATCCACAGAAACTACGGTGAATTTCTTTCTTATCACAATTGTACATGCTTACTGTTTCTTCATGGATTATCTGCAGCTTGAGTTTCATCTTTGTATCATCTTGCATTTGATTACTAATTTTGAGAATATGAAACATCTAGGCTATCTTGTGCAAATGAGAACGCAAAGTAGTATCCTTCTTCTATCTCAGCAAGTAGACACATTTTCAGAAAGATAGGATGATCGGTTGTGGGGACCATATTGTGAAAGTACCAATTGAGGGCTTGAACCGTGTATCCTATCTGAATTGGCTTTCCCATTTCCGTGTCATTCAATATTTCCCAATGTCAACCTGTCTTCACATATGGCTTTCTCATATCTTATCTTCCTCTTTCTTGTGAACTATTTACCATTCTTGGTGTAGTGTGGACCTCTCATAATTTCAATACATGGCAGACAGTCAATTTTTACGATCCTGCCTTGTCATGTTCTACGTATAACATCTAACTAGTCATGTCCCTTTTACTTAAGATTTCAATGCAAAGTTTTATATATATATATATATATATATATATATGTATATGTATATTTCAAGATAAAATTGTCTATATCACGAAACTACTATGCCGGAGCTTGACGTGACTTGCCCAGGTCAGGCCTTCTGTTGACAGGTCATTGGTCACACAGAGCCTAGTTGATATACTAAGTATTTTGTTGACTGGAAAAAAAAGCTCTTTTAGATGTTACTATAAAGGAACTTGTACAATTTTATTGTACAACTACAACAAATTTAAGTGTTTCTTTTCAGCATGATAGGAGGCTGTAAATTGTTGAGTTCCAGTTTTCTCCCCTTTTCATGCCACTTTATGTATTTAGTAAAAAATCCTCATATGTTCCTTGTGTCCAATAAGATTCTAATTTAGATGCTGATTCTGATATTCTGCTGCACAGACAAATAAAGATGAAACCCTGAACTTTATCCTGATTGATGGTACATGGAGCAACTCTGCCGCAATGTTCAGACGATTGAAGGTAAATCATCTCAATTTTCTTTGCTCTGCTGCCTTTGTTTGGAACTACTCTTTTTTTTTTTTTTTTTTTTTAAGTTATGAATCAGCTCTTTGCTATAACAGACTAACAGTGCTACAATACAAGCAACTTTTCTAACTTAATGCCACAAGTATTCAGTCATCAATATAGTCCTCAATGGAACAATTTCTGTTTAAGCTTCATTATTATCGGTAATACTAGAACGCAAGGTAGTACTTTAATCTAATGTTTCTTTTTTTTTCCCCCCTTTTTTCCCTTAAAATTCTAATTTTGCGTAAAAGGTTAGCTTTCTATCCTCCCTCCCTTACCACAAGAGAGTAACTAAATAGGTAAATATTGTAGTTTTCCTATCAAAAAATCTATTTAACCTTCAAGATGTTCTATGGTCTTCTACTTCTAAGTAAAAAATATCCAAGATTTATAAATTTAATCGATATGCACCATGTTTAAGTTGCCTTGTATCTCAAGCTCAGGATTTCGATACTTATTTGAGTCATTTTAATGAGAGCAAAACAAAAAATGAAAAGAATTCAGAAAGAGGAAAAGAATTTGTTCAAGGAAGCGTAAATTTTGTGAAAGAAGCTTTGGGGACATTTGAGATTTTTAATTACAAGGAAATGCCTGGAAAGTCTAAAGAGATCCAGGTGACTGAAGAGGCCGTAGGAGAAAGTGGACAAAGCTGCCAATTATAATTATGAATCAAAACAGATATTAAACTTCAGGGTTGTATTGAAAGAAGAAGTATATTTTGAACTTTTGATAATGTTCTCAAAGCATCAAGAGAATTGGGTGTACCTGCATGGAGCTACCCAAATATATGTGCTCTTTAGAAATTTCCAAGCCAATGGATTGAATATCCTTTAAACATAAATTTTCTGAAGATGCGAGTTGGAGAGTTTTACAATCAGTCTTATTGCCTGCAGGATCAAGCCAAGTCAATATGGGGGGAAGAAGATATTCCGTGTATATCGTTGGCCACGGGTGCTTCTACAATGCATAAACTTCGGTGAGAAGTCAGAACAAATTATGAAGTTCTGATACAGGGCTCTATTAATATCTTTTCTCTTCATTTGTTTTTGGTTTACTGTCTTGTTGTTTCCATCCTAAATCCCCGGTCACGGTTAATTTGATTACGTAAGCAACCCTGTTTGGAACATTTTGGGCAGGCCCCAACCATCATGGGATCGTACCTGTACAGCCGCAGCAGCTATTGGCCTCCTCTCTGAGCTGCAACTTCTTCCAAAGTTCAGCTCCTGTGGGTTGGATAAACAGGCAGAAGCCATTGAGGATGCTTTGGTTGTCCTATTAGACGCTCTCACAGCTCGACGACTCCGGATGGGTAGGTCCATCACACGTAAAATACGGCACACCAGCGACATATGTTAATAACTACCCAAGAATAAGTTTATGCAGGCGCAGCAACAGGAGGAAACCTTTTTGAAATGCTGAGGTGATTTTGTTGAATCTAGTACGAGATCTCATAAATGAAATGCTAATTTCTTTTGCTAACTGATATTAGAACAAAACTCAACTAAATTATGGTTGATGTTTTTCTTTTATCCCTGTTTTTCCCCTTTACATACTGTTTGTTTTCCAAGTTCTCATCACCTTAACCTTTCCTCATACTGGTTTCCACTTTCCATCTATCAGTTCGCTACTTGCAACAAAAGGTAGGATATATTAGCACCAAAGATTGGCATAAACAGCAGGCTAGTCTCAGTTATTCAATAGGCCATTCACTACATTTTTCTTTTTCTTTTTCCTCTTTTTTTTTTCAGAGTTAGAGATATTTCTGAAATCTAATTTATATGGCCCTCTATTTGCTTACCGGCTTCTCCATTTAGACTCTCATCTAGATATTTCCCTTACAAAAAGGAGTTTTACTTAAAAAAATTTGTATATTGGTCTTTGACTGAAAAGCAGTTTCTGCTTAGAATTTGTTTGCATTTCTTATTTACCATTTAGCAAGAGAGAAATTCAATTGTTGAGGCACCATATGATGGTTTTTTCACGGGAAATTCTTACTATGTGGCATTACAACAATAGTAGTTCGAGTATTATTGTTACAGTTTTTTCTCTCATAAAAATTTAATAACATAATTTACTTGTGAATCCATATTCCATGCTATTAAGTCGCAGGAAATCTTTTGTTACTTGTGAATCCATAATCCATATTCCATGTAATCTACAAATAAATAATTAAATAAATAATTGGAGAAAAGTTGGGAATCTTAGGGCCATTTATTTATTAATCTTTACAGGTCTATTTTTTATGTCATTTTAAGTAATGGGATGTTAGTCTTTTATTTTCTTTTTATAAATTAAACGATAATTATTTATTTTTAAGTAAAGTGACATAAATAACATTTTTACCATCTTAATTGTTAATTTTAGTTGGGAGAAAGAGAGAAATAGGCTAAGACTTGAGATGAATTAAAATTAATAGGCTAATAGTTTACATAAGTTAATAAATAGGCTAAATTATTGTTTTTGTCCATAACTTGTCTGGTTATAAACCATAACTTGACAAGTTATTGTCTATAACTTGTCTGGCTATGAACCATATCTTGACAAATTTATTCATAACTTATCTAGCTATGAACCATAACTTGACAAGTTATGGCCTATTAATTTCTATAATTAAAAGTTGGCCTATATACTTTCTTAAACTTTTCATATTGACATATTTTCTACTATTTCCGTTTTTAATTTTTCCCTATTATTTGAGCATTGCTATTGGGCTCTACAAAATTAGGGGCTCGCAACACAAGGGCCACCGGCGACTACACAAGGGCCGCCGTTCATACCTTCTTAAAACATCACGTGCAAGTCACGTGAAGGAAATCTGTTGAGTTTTTAATATCATTTTTTTATTAGACTTGCAACACAATGAATTTTAAACTTTTAAGGAGTCGATTGTTAAGATTTAAGTTGAGGGATAAATTTGCCAAACAGGATAAGTTGAGGGGTATTCATACAAAAAAGCTAAATAAATATGGAAAGTTTCATATTTGTACGTGTTGTTGGGAGTTTTCCTTAGCTTTTCTTAATGAAAAACTCCCTAGAACTTTTGTTCTTCAATTTCTATTTTTTATGACCATCATATAAGAAGCTAACGCAATGGAATGAATGCAACATAAATCAGTATCAGGTGAACGAAGTCAATTTGAAAATTGAATGAACGGAAAATATCCGGGCAAGGAACAAAAGAGGAAGAAAAGTTTGACATGTTACAAAATGTTTATAATCAGGTTGATAAATTTAAAGGACATGATAAATAAGTTATGGAGATATTCATTGAAAGACGGTAATAGATCCAATAGATCTTGACCAAAAAGTGAAGGCAACAAGTTAATTTATTGGACAAATATCTCAGAAAAAAAAAAAATTAAAACCACAAGTCACTGAGTCGTGTTAGTTAGCAATGCATGGGATTTGAGATATTTTTCTGAAAAAATAAGAGATTTTGAAATAAAAGGTAAATAATTTAAATTTTAAGCATAAATTATTTATTTAGATTTGTGTCTTAATAGAAATGTAGGGGTGTCAATATGGAAAAAGGAATTGATCAGAAGAGTAGAAATAACGAACGAAAACTGAAACAGAAACTTACATTGCATCTTAATGACAAAGCTGACTTAATGGGAGTTGCCACCTTGACAATCTTAACTTAACGCATCTTCTTCTTTCTGCTCTTCTCTCTCTCTCTCTCTCTCTCTCTCTCCACATTACCTGCAACAATTTACTCTCCACCATTGTTCTTTTCTCTTCCTCACAAAAAAAAAAAAAAAAAAAAAAAAAACCAAAAAAACAAAGAAAAAAGTCTAAGAAGCAGAGCCATCAAAAAGACAGAAAAAGCCAACCCCATCGTCTCTCAGAAGGCGGAGATCGACCCTTCTCCACCTTTTGGTCTCCGGAGAAAGCACAACAACAACAACAATAATAATAACAATAATGGCTTCCATTCATTGTCTTTTTCATGCTTTCTTCTTCTTTCTTGCAATGGCCTTGGCCACGTCCTCAACCACCACCTTCCTTTCGGGTAAATTCCCATTTTCTTCCTTGTTTTCTCAACCCAATTATGTTATGCAATCACATTGATTTGATATTATATTAACCATTGAAAACTCGTCCATACATATATCGATCTATTTCTATTTATTGGTGTTTGCAGATAGCGTGTTTGAGTCACATGGGTTCAATTCTCGTTCCCTGCTTCAAGCCAAAAAGAGTATGAACCTCTTCTTTTCTTTTTTTCTTTTTTTCTTTTTTTGTATTTTTTGGTTCTTTTGTTTGTTTTTGTAATTATTTTCTTTCTTCTCCTTTTTTTCCCCCCTGAAATTGACCATTGACTAGCATATATTGCACGTGCTAAAACTTTGTTATGGTCTTTTCTGTTGCTTTTGGTTTTGGATATTGCATTTCATATAAAGTTTTTGGTTATATCTGTTTGTGCTTTGCGTTGTTCCATTCTTTGAATTTCAAAATTGTGTATTGACAAAAAGGATGCAGTTTCATGCAGAATATATTTGCATTACCATCAATATCATGAAAAATGCTTGTTTCTGTTCTCTTCATTAATAAAGGATTGAAGTCACACAACTTTAAGGAGACAGTTGAAAGTAACATAATTTTAAGATGCACTTGAAGATGGACTTGGAAATACTTTTACATGCTAACATAGTTATATAGTTATATATTTGCTTTATAGTACGTCCAATGTCTTCGTAATGCTATATTTTGTATATGACGTTCTTCCAAACACCCAAATTTGTTGTTGGAAAAACAACTGCTTATTCTTTTTTTCGTATTCTCTTAGGTTGCACCATAAACTTTGAGTCACAAAACTACACAATCATCACAAGCCAGTGCAAAGGACCTCGATACCCGCCTCAGGCCTGTTGCCAGGCCTTCAAGGAATTTGCTTGCCCTTTCACAGATGCCATAAACGACGAGCAAAGCGACTGCGCTTCTACCATGTTCAGCTACATAAATCTCTACGGGAAGTACCCGCCCGGCCTGTTCGCCTTGCAGTGCAGGGAAGGGAAAGAAGGTCTCGATTGCACCGACATACTTGCAGCCAAAGAAAAGAGCAGAGGTCAGATATCAGCTACTCCATCCACATTGTTACTGCTCTTCGCTGCCTTTTTTGTGTTGGTATACCATTTGTTCTAAAGGATGAAAGTGAAAAAAAAAAACAATTACTATTCATATCCATTGATTTATTTCTTGTTGACATTCCAAATCCGGTTTCCTTTCAAGGTCCAGCTCTGCTGTGATTTCCTTTTTCTTTTTTCCCCTCTGCACATGTTCAAGCATTCTGTATACTAGAATTTGTATTCTACGACTGAAACAAAGTATGAGTCTAAAAAATATATATATACATATGTAGCACTATACTAGAAACATTGATGAGAGAAATTCTTTCCATTATTACCATTCAATTTTCTGATGTGTATTTTTAACACAAACCATGTTAGATCACCAATTCCATTTCTCTTAAAAGCTTAAGTTAATTGGACTTAAACCAACATTGGCTTTTATTTTAGGAAAGCAATACATCCAGAACCATGTGTTTTATCGAATTAGCAAATTGGCACCTCAGTGTTTAGATAATACCAAATAGGTACTTTGTACTTAATTTATGCTTGAAAGTTGCGATATTTTAATACCAAATAATTAAAAATAACGATTATATTATATTATACAATAATATAATATATGTAATTACAATATAATGTGTATTTATTATTATATTTAATATAATACAATAAAACTATTATTAAACAACATATTATCTAACTGATATAGAATATAATAATATTATTAAAATAGTTAATATAATTACAATATTATAAAACATATTATAATATTACATAAAAAAAAATATTAACATTTCAGTTATAGTATAATTAAAAATTACAACTATATAATATTATAATATAATATAATATATTATATAATCATTATTATATTATATTAAACAAATATATTATATAATCACAACGTGTGTAATACACACAATATAATATATAATATGTTATAAAATAATAATTACAATATCATATTATAATTATAATATCATATTATTAAAATAATTATAATATTATTATAATATCATATTATATGATAAAATAATAATATTATAGTTATTAATATAATTATGATATTATTTGTTACAATATTATTATTATATTATATTATATTATATTACGAGTCTGAATTTTAGATTGGAAAGATTGTAAATTTTAAATTGTATTAGGGGTATTATGGGTATTATGAAAGTTTCATGAATTGTACTATGCTTGTTCTCACACAATCTAAAAGTTAAAGTTATCTTTAGGTTGCTTTTAATTTTGACTGTAGATTCTTAAAAAATTTCTTAAAAAATACTTTTAAGAAGATTTATCAAACACTAAAATTAACTTTTGTTATAAATAAAAATTGATTTTAGAAAAAAATAATAATAATACCAAACTAAGTCAAAAGATGCCTCTCGACAATGGGCAACTGCTTTCAAGGTTGGGAAATGACAACAACTTTTCAAACTACAGATAAGAAAAATGTCGGGGGAAAAAAGGTTGTTAAAAATGGGTATCTCAGGAGATGGGATATATATGAATCTCCTTTAGATTGTATATATGGTGGTCTTTGTCAATTGACTATAATAATTCATATAAAATTCCAGATCCCACAAATAGGATGCTCTTGGTATGCACCATGACGGCATTTATTCGTGGACCTGTTGGTTTGATTAGTCACTTTAATTTTTTCAACTTTCCTTTTTTTTTTTTTTCTTTTTTTTTTCTTTTTGTTTTAAGCGGAAGACCACCAGTAAAGGGATTTATTGTCCATGGAGAACTCGAACTATTGGACCTAGTTACCTAAATCAGCTCTAGCTTTCTTCAAATAGCTAGTTTTCTCTAAAACTATATCCTTTTAGGTGCATTCTATTATTCTTTAATTTGTTCAAGTTCAAATATTATAATTTGTGCTAGGTAACATTGGTTGTTATGTCTTAAAAAAGATGTTGTGAGAATAGTCAAACGGTAAATTCATTCACGTCTTTAATAATGAAGTCCATAATTTAATTCCCACTCCGCACTTCAAAATGATGAGAGATTTGATTCTCCTCAAGCATCTATTACTCTTCGTTGGATTTGTGGTTGTGGATATTTCTATTAGGCAAAGGGAATATGTTATATATTGTTATCTTTATTAGGAGTTTTGACTTTATTTGTATTTATTTTCATATTAGAAGATCCCTCGATTTAAATTCTGTGTAACTTACATGATTATGTCTTTGTAATTTATAATTATATGGAGCCAATTCATAGAGTTACTTACTGGTGAATCGTCTCTTTCTTTAGTCTGTGAATGTAGATAAATTACCGAACCATGTTGAATCTTTTTCCTCTCTTTCCCTTTTATTTTCTTTTTTTAATTTTTAATACCTAAGTTTCCGTATATCGCATAGTGAAATATAATTTGTAAAGTCTAAAATAAAGATTAGAGGAAATTTCATTTGACACCATTCTTTTATTGAAATATGTTCTCTTTCTAAGGCCTTGTTCATTTCACCGATTTGAATTTAGAATTTGTGTTTTGTTACAGTAAAAAGCTCTCAGAAACATTCACATCTAAATTTTTTGTTACAATAAAAGACTCTCACGTAAAATCATATCTCAACTCGAATTAAAAACTCAATTCAGCGAACAAAACAGACTATAAGTAATTGGAAGAATCACGCATCATGAAGCACGGCAAATATATACAAAATTAAAAATAAAATAAAAGTTTCCCCAAAAATCATTTCATTCAAAGTATTTGTAGAATGTTAAAAACTTGAGTTCAAGCATATCTATGAAGAGAAATCATTTTCCCTCAAGGGAAAGACTTCAAAAGGAGCTGCGAGAAAGCATTATGTTTACAACAATGAAAAGCAGGGTTAACTTTGCAAAAAGTATGCAAAGAGGATGAGAAAATTCTCTCGCCGAAAGAAGAAAAAAGAGAGGAATCCATATCACAATAATTAAAGGAAAAGAAAATGAATAAGTGTTACAACTTCCTAACATCATTTTCCAAATTAGACTTTTGACATTCAACGGGAAAGCCGTGCCTTGAGGTGTTTATATAAGGCATTTTTCTGCTTTGAATCACATTATTCTAAAAATCCATAAATCCTAAACTTTCTGTCTTTTTGAAGAATTCATTTTCAACTAATTTTAACCAACGCTTTTTTGGCATTATCTTGATCGGTCATGCGGTCTCTGAAGAATAATAAATATCTAGAGAAAACAATATATGAAGCTTTGACTTGGGTAAGCATGCTACAAGAATTGTTATAAGGGATATTTACCGCGAAAAAAAAAAAAAAAGTATGTAACACATGACGTTTATGGCCCCCAAACTATGTAGCGTCTCAAGATTCAATAGTTATGGCGACAGAATGGTCAAAATGGGACAAGTAACATAGTTTAAGAGTGTGATTTGTTACATTTTTAAAGTTTGATGGCTAACCTGAAATTAATTACATAGTTTGAGAATTAATGAAATTAAATTAAATACGGCGAAGCTAGTTTTAAGCAGGTAATATGTGAATTCTCACAAACAGTTTAAGAATTTTTTATGAAATGAAAAGTTATAACATTATTAATTTTATAGAGAGAAATAGTCCTACCAACTATTTTCACTAATATTTTTTTATAAAAAAAATACTCATAGTTCTAATAATGTAACCAAACGCTAGTTTAAACTTTATTTTTTATTTAGACTTTATATTACCAAACGTCAGTTCAAACTACAAAAAACTCGCATATAAATTCAAACGCAAAGGTTCAAACCCACCAATTTGAACCTGCGAAGCAAATGAGACCTTTATTAAGGTGATTTAATATAAGTGGTTGGACACAGTTTGAAATTGGAAAATTTAAACAAATGATACAAGTCCTAAATTAGGACTCTATACAGTAGGTACCAATTTCTATGAAGTTTCACAATAAAGTCCAATACATATATAAACAAAACCTAATTAGGACATGTTAAGGACAACTACTCCATTAATAGGTTTTACTTTCAATAAACTCGTTTCATCCAAAATTTAAAAATTAATTATTGTTTCATGATTCAGCGTTAAGGGTCTTGGGGACCATAACTTTAACACATATTTGTGATTGCAAATCACGCAATAGTTGCATCGTTCTCGAATTGTTAAATACTCTCTTTGTTGTAGTGAACTAGTGACGTGACATGTCACAATGCTCTTTTTCGTCTTTAAAGTTGTGGCGTTTAGTAGAAGTACAAGATACAATATTTTAAGAACATTGAAAAATATTATGGAGAACGATGGTGTTACAACAACGTTATCTTAAAATATTATTTATTCTCTGTCATTGCTGACCTGCAAAGTCACTTGTAAATAAGAATAGATGGAAATAAATTTATTGCTCACGAGACAACGCACTTGTTTGGTATAAATAGAAATAAAATTACACTTGTAAAAAATTCTTAGTTAAAGTCGCATAAAAAAATTATGCAAAACTAACAAAATTTAATAAAATCTCATTCAGTTTTTCGATTCGAATTTTCAATTTAAGATATCACTTTTTATAAGAATTTTTTTATTATAATAGAAAAATTATCAATTGTACTAGTTGTACCATCAAATGTTTAACGTTTAGAGCCCGTTTGGTTTGATTATTCATTATCTGATTCGAATCATGATTCATGATTCGCTGCAGTATTTTCTCTCATAAAAAACACACGTAAATAAAAAATAATTTTAATCTCATAGTTGTAATTTATAAACCAAACGAGCCTTTAATTTATACTTTTGTAGAGAAGAAAAAGTACAAAGAAAACAAATTATGGCGTGGAATGGAGCGGTTTCATTTTGGTCGATTGGTAAAAAGTCGGTTTAAACTTTAAAACTTCTAAACAAGCGGTTTCATTTTGGTCAACTGGTAAAAAGTCAGTTTAAACTTTAAAACTTCAAAACAAGCACATTGAAGTATGTTTGTTCAAATCTGACGAGAGTTTTTTTTTTCATAAAATTTAAATTTTAAAAATAATAATAATTATTATTATTTTAAATTTTAATTTAAACACATGAATTAAACGTGATCAACAACCTTTCGAAATAAAAGAACCAAATTTACCCCCAAAAAAAAAGGAAAGAAAAGATGAAACAACATCCAATTGTCTTCTGACAGTTCGAAAGGAAAATAAAATTCAATTCAAAGATCCAAAAGCAGTTATACAAGGGACTTGTCAATAAAACCAGAGAAACATAAAAGGAAAAGAGAGAAAATAAAGCACAATCCATCCCAAGTGAAACCCCTCAAACATTACAATTCTTCGCCTGTCTCTAACTGAAATTAGAAGAAAATTTTCTTTAGTTTCATCTCTCTGATATAAAGTCGATCAAAGAGAAAAATCTAAATACTATAAATTTAGAAGAAGAAGGTTAGGCCCGGACTAAGTCACGGAGACCAGGGCTCATCTGTGAGCAGTAACAAGCGTTTCAATGAATCTTAAACCGTCAAACCTCGGCGCAAATTTATCCGTCGACGGCGTCCTTTCCGACGAAGAACTCGAATTTTCTCTCTCTCTCTTCAAAATTGCATCCTCCTGAGAGAAGAATCCGCCATGAATAACATTCTCAGAATCGATTTGATAAAAGATTAATCTAGAAAATTTCTAATTGCTTAGAATTAAAGCAAAGAAAACGAGATTTTGTATTTTAAAGGAAAAAAAAAAATCAAAAGAGATAAACTGTCTTAAGAAGTGCAAAGTTTTCTGTTTTTCCTTTTTCCTGAAAGTTTTCTATCCTTTAATTCTATTTCTACGGCGCCAAACACCATGAATCCAGTTTTTTTTTCTTTTTCAAAATAGAATCAAGAAAAGTTCCAGATGGCTAGAATCGCAACGAAGGAAATCGAAAGATAAGATCAGCAGAAATTCCGATTGTTAATGTTTCTCTCACCTGAAGGGAAAATTGCACAGAGGAAGAGGCAACAGTGAGGGCGGTAGCAGAGGAGGCGACGGCGACGGAGGCAGTGAAAATCCCAGGCTTCTTCATGATGGACTGGTTTTGGAATTGTGTTTGGATTCCGCGAATATCTGGGAAAGCTCGGGAAAACGTTTTCTCCGGTGGAGAATGAATGAAATAAGAGAGAGGATTTTATTGGATGGGAAGTTGTTAGCGGTTTTTGACGGCTTTTATAAGGGACAGAATGGGTAGTTAGTGGTAATTTCAAACGTTTACGCGGCAACCATCTCCTGTTTCCTTTCAAAATTACGACTTTACCCTTATATGAATTTAAATGACTATTACGCCTTTGTCATCAGAGATATTTATATGTGAATATAATTTTTTTTATTCAATTTTTTTTTCTTTGAAGATGATTAAAGATACTCTTTATACGTTTTTTTTTCTTGGAAATATTTTAAAAGTTGGTCTCGTATTTTTACACTTGGAATGATGACCCTAAATTTTAAAGCAAAAGACTCGTTTCACCATTATCTCAAGGAGTAAATTATCGTCAAAGTAAAAAATAAAAATAAAACATAAGAGAGAGGGAGAGAGAAAACTCCAAGTTGGAATTGGGTAATTTGGTAAGGCGCCTCCATTTTTTTTTTTTGGAGACCTCCGGTGATCTCTCGTGAAAAAATCTTTAGGTCACAAAAAACTTAACAACCCAACAAGCCCAATTAACTCATTCAATCAAATTTATTATAACCCGAACCTGACCAACCTTACTAATGAGACGTTTGATTCGTGGGTTTAGAACCATAATTCATTATTTTAATTTTTAAAATTTAAATTTTTTATGAGAGAAAAATACTGTAAAGAATCAAGAACCATGATTTAGAATCAGAGACGAACCCTTGAAACAACCATCCCATAAGAGATCAACCTAACTCACCTAATATGACTATTAATTAGGTTGGTTTAGGTTGATTTTTTCCCAATCTAACTTAGCTTGAACACACCCAACCTATTTATATATAAATAAATATTTTTCTATATAAAAAAATATAAGTCTTATACTTTACATTAATTATTTGACAACTTATTATGTTTTACGTTGTTTTTTTGTTGGTTTATAACTTATATGTTTAAATTTATTTTACAAATATTTTTTTTTATGTTGATTTATAATTTATGAGACAAATTTAAAATTTTATGAGACTAATATTATAATAAAAATTAGTTTTCTTTTCATATATTTCTTGGTTTGGTTAAAGAATTAGCTTTATTTTTTTACTTTTTATTTTTTTCATAATGTTCAACCAGTTGATTTTAAATTTTAGGTTGATCGAGTGAATTAAATTTTAGATCAATCCACCTAAATTTAATTATGTGAATTGAAAAATCTCAAAAATCTATTCAAACCATGTTCACTCTATCTAAAGGTATATACTTTTTTATTTTTTATATTTTATTTTTGGTAATTGGATACATCTTTTTTATTTAAGTAAAAAAATAATATTAATTTTTTATATCGTACGAATCTGGAGGGGCAATTTCGTAAAGTAGCTACCATTGTGGCTTTTTGCGGCACGTCGACGCTGACGTTTTGGAGGCGACCATCTTAAGAAGTTAGTCATGATAGGCTGATATTTCTTCAAATCAGATCAATCACCCATTGACACGTGTATGGATTAAGTCAAGCCACGCTAGCACCACTTGTTTCACGAGTTAAATTAAAGGCCTTCATTTTCGGAAAGAGTTATGAGAGTGGGAAGCATCCAACTCAATTACATGTGAGAGTGGGTCATGGGAGGAAGTCCAAAATCTATTTGCTATTCTTTTTGGACCGTTCAGATATTTTGTTCATGATTATGAAATTTAAATAGAAATTTAAACTTTTTGAGAGAAAAAACATTTTAGAAAAGAATTTGGGACTTTCACTAGTTGACTTTGTTGTCAATAATGTCAATTTCTAATCGTTGAATCCAGTCAAAATCATATCAAATTAAAAAAATATATAAAACATGCAATTTTTAATATAGATTTAACGATTAAAAAGTAAAAAATTACGGATAGTTTATTTTTTCTAATCTTACTAAAAAAAACTCTAAAAAACACTTGAATTACAAATGCAGTGTCTTGTTGAGATTGTGAAGTGTCCCCTAAAGCCATCGCCTTGTGTGACTTGCTCGTGCTTGTTGATTGGCATTTCCCTACTATTCTTTTTCTTTGTGCTAAACACCTTTGTGATTGAGGAAAATATGGCTTTTCTCAATTCCTCACATTGTATTTTTGTTTTGAATGTTGGCAGAATTAGGAGAATTGGAAGTTTAGGAGTTGAGTTTTGTGTTAGGGTTTATAATGGGGTTTGGGGATTTTTGCTTATTCATGTTTTTTCATCACCAATTTAAGAAAAAATAGAGAATTTACTCTTGAGAGTGCATGAGTTTAGATGTGTACCCCTTACTCTTGATAAATACATTTTTGTTAGTGTAATTATTTGACAAAAAAGGTTATGAATCAAGAGTAAAAGGTAAAACTTCTTATCCATACACTTTTAAAGAGTATTTGTCAAAATTACTCCTAATTTAACATTTATTAGCAATTTGGACCACAATATTGTAACAATTTAGCAAGCTGAAAGGATAAATTTCCAAAACAAATTTCAAGTGGCAAGTTATCAATGCCCACATTTTTTTTTTAAATTTTTTTGAAACACCAAAGACACAAAAGTTAAGGAGGTAAGTATCCTCAAAACCTATAAATTATAGGACAAATAATAGAATACAACCGGTATGGTTTGAGTTTTAAAATAAAATGTATTAAAAAAAACACATGTACTTCAAAAAAAAAGAAAAACTTAAATCTAATACATAAATTATAAATGATCAATACAATGAATTATAAAAACAGTGGGTTCTATTTACACACCCTTTTTATTCTTTACACCCATGTTCTAAATACACATCTTATATAATTTTAAAATGATTGAATTTACTCTTTACATACCCCTATCATTTTAAAATTACCTTTTAATTATTTTCACATGATTATTAATTCTTTATAACGTCATTTTCTTTTCACACCCACCATTTCATTTTAATTTCATACTTTAATATTACCATTTCTCTATTTTCTCTATTTTTTTCCTAGTTTTTTTCTTTTTTTTTCTTGGTTGAAACTTTAGGCATGAAGCGGTTAAATATATAAAGAAAATTTGGCTATTACATTTGTTAGAAAAATAAAGGACATTTACTATAAAAGACTTACTATTACATTCCCAAACAGCAACGTCAAAAAAATGTAAATTTACTATTAAAAAGTATCTACGGTAAACGTCCTTTATTTTTCTAGAAAATGTAGTAGCAACACTTTCTTTATCTATGAAATGCTTCATGCTTAAATCTTCAACAAAAAAATGAAATAGTAATAGTGAAGTAAAGAATTATCATGAAATGGTGGGTGTGTAAAGAAAAATTGAGTGATTAAGAATTAATTATTTTATGAAAATAATTAAGGGTAAGTTTGAAACAATAAGGGTGTGAAAAAGAAAATTAAATATTGTAGGATGTGTATTTAAAAAGAGATGTGAAGAGTAAAAAGAGATGTGTTAATAGAACTACTCTTATAAATTATGTGGATAAAAAACTTCACAAAAGTCCAAAATTTTTATGTCATTATTTATATCCATTCAATTGGTCACAAATTTATATAACTTTTTTTTTAAAAGTGGTTAAGTTAATCATTAATAGATGAAAATCAACACTAAATACAGACATAGCAAAAATAATACACCAAGGTTGATTTTGAATTTAAAAATACACACATCTGATTTCTGAACTATAAAAGAAAAAAAAAATGAAAGCACTAAAACGTTTTTTTTTTTTTTTGAAAGTAAGAAATACTTATTCGTGCATTTTTAATATGTTTTGGAAAATTATTGAATTGATGTGTTTAATTCGAAAATTAACAGTATTTCAAAAAAAAAAAGTGTATACGTGCGTTATATATAACAGTTTCGCGTACAAAAACTATGTCTGAAAAATATACATTTCTAACTTTATCGCGTGCCTACTTATAAAGAGTGGGAAATGAAAGTGAAATTCCAAATCAACCTCATATTTATTTATTCATTTTTATTCTGAAAGTGGTAGTGAGACTGTGTGGGCCTCACACTAATTTGAGATTAAAGAATGAAATTAGCAAACCCCACACCCCTAAAATAAGATTGACACTCTTAATCCTAATAGTAAAAGTGAATTACGATTTTACCCTTAATTTTAGTAACAAATTCATGGATAGAAACTAAATTGAAAAATTGAAGATCTCATAATTCTCCTATGATATTTACTACATGTATTCTACAATATTTTGAATCAACTTAAGAAGGATACATCCTTAAAATTCTTAGTCGTGGAGTGTAAATGTTAGATTAGCCAATTATTAGTTTAGTTAAATTATGTTAAGTCCTTTATTCTAAAAAAAATTATGTCGGTCCTTTGGATTATGTTGGGGATACGTTTCCCTATTTAAGACTTGGAATTTCCTTATTAATGTTAATGACTTTAGAACTTAGTTATTTTATTTTTATATTATTTTATCATTATATATATATTTAAATTATTTCAAAATTTAGTGAGAAAAATAATTTTTATGATTTTTAAAACTACGTTTTTATTTTTATTTTTTAAAAATCTAATTACACCAAATTACTAATTATATTGTTATCTTAATATTAAAGTAGTTATTATAATATACAATTTATTTTTGTTCAAAACATAAAATCTACTAAAAGAGTATGTAAATAAATTTATAACAATTTATCTCGATTAAGGGTGTAAGTAAAAGTGTGAATAAGATTAGGATTGATTTTGACTCTGATTCTTAGAATCTAAATAAATAGTTTATTCTGATTATGCTTTTCAACTTTAATTCTTGTCCACTCCGATTCATACCTACTCCGATTATGGGTAGTAAACACACTATTAGTTATTTTTCGTTGTAACTATCTCATTAGTCTTTGAGACAAAATAATAATAACAATAACAATAATAATAGTAATGCATTTATTTTTTTATTATTTTAATGATCCTTTATTTAAATAATGCAAACCTACGCCGGGGATTAAAAAATTATTATTTTGGTTAAACCAAATCTTTAATTGGTGAATATGTACGATCACTTTAAAACCTATGCTTTTAAG